ATATATATATTTTTCACATTTTTGTTTAATTATATATGTATTTTTCAATTTTACATTTTCATTTCATATAATATAAATCTTGCCAATAATTTTATGTGAGAGTGGGAAATATTTGAGTATATGGCAACACTGACGTATATTAAGCTTACATTTAACGTCAAACATATCAACGAGGTTATGTTCATTGCACCAATAGGGGAGTCAATGACGTATAATATACGAGTATAATATATTGAGGGGAGTCCAACACATAACCTCAAACCGAGCTGTCAAAGTGTCTGGATATGGTGTCTGGAGTCTGGAGGGCAAACAAACGATTGAATAGCATTGTGATTTGCAGTAAAAGACAAATTTTTAATTGTATTTATCCAAATATAATTAGTAGATGACCTAGTAATTGACAAAAAGCAATTTTCTTTAATATATTTCTTATTCACATTGATTACATGAAGATAATTATAATTTAATGAGGTAAACTTACCGAGTTGCGATTTGCAGTAAAGACAAATTTTTAATTGTAGTTATCCAAATATAATTAGTAGATGACCTAGTAATTGAGAAAAAGCAATTTTCTTTAATATATTTCTTATTCACATTGATTACATGAAGATAATTATAATTTAATGAGGTAAGTTGAAAAGTTCATAATAGTTTAGTTAAGTCCTTTAACAACCACAATTATTGTCAATATATCCTTATAATGATTGATGAGAATTTTCTTTTATATATTAGCATATTCGGCATATCGCTAATATTTCTCAGTTATAGATTTAGCTTCATTTAAACATTTTAGTGTTAACACAAAATGAGCTGCTGAAATTAAAATAACATATTTTTATCAATAAAATTTTAACATTTTTGAACTAAGTGCGACTCAAAATATTTTTTATAATATAGTAAAGACATTTACACCTTTTTAATTGATAAGAAACCTAACTGTTTATTAATTTGATGAATGTTATTTTGTTTTAGAAATGGATCGAATTCATTACTTCAATAACTTGAAATTATGATGTAGCAAGCAGATATCTAGAGAAATTAAAACTAATCAACAACATAGATCCATATACTATTTCAGAAATTGAATTAAGTTACAATCCAAATGATTTTCCCCCAACAAGTAGCATAGATGTAGTGAGCTATCTAGTGTTGAGCACCAGTTTTTACACACAACATCAAATTAAAGCTTACAAAAACTTTAAAGCAGGTTTTGTGAGTGATTGTGGGTCAAAAATTGTAAATGACAAGTGACATTAGGGAAAGTGAGTATAGCATTTGAGGAGCAAATGTTTTTTGCTAGTTGTTACAATATGTTAACTTGTTCTTTTATTGTTACAGATTAAACATTCACAAAAAATGAACAAGCTACCACTACAAGCATGGGTTAGGTGTAACTAAGATGGAAGTATAGAAACAGGACATTGTACATGAATGGCAGGTGCAGAAGTGTATAGCCATGTTGGTGTGATATTGTATGCACTACAATATATAGCTGCTATTATCAAAAGATAATATAGCATGTACAGATGTGAGGTCCCTCTGAAATGTGCCCAAAACTGCAAAGGTTGAATGTAAACCAATTAGAGGTATTGATTTTGGCAAAATATTTTCTGGATCATGAATTCCCTCAGAAGTGCTTTGCATGAGTGATGACCATATTTTACAGTTTTTGACTGACATCGAAAAAGCTGGAAGTTCATCCATTTTAAGCAAAGTGACAGAACCATTTGCTGAACGAATGGCTGAGTCATTAAGAAGAATGTCAATATCACCAATTAACCCATTTTCTTTGTTATATAATTTTATACACATACATTCAGTTAAAGTTGTTGATAACTTGGTTATAAGTTAGGATGAAAGTGAATGTATAACCATTGAAAAGAGTACATGAGACCAAAGTAAGTCAGAACAATTGTTTCATCAATGAAGAGGAAGAATAACAGTATCAAATTTTAAAGCAGCTGCCAATTCTCGTATTGAAAAACCATCATTATCCCTAATTAAAACTATATGTTATCCAGTACAACGTTTGTTCAAAACCAGTGCAACAGAGTGGGGGAAAAATTATAAAAAAATGCAATAGAACCTTTCCGAAAATATTCATATAGTACCCATGAAAATCTAGTCATAAACATGCTGGATTTTTCATTAAGCCTGAATTTCCACAACTTGGTGCAACTCCTAATGCAGTGGTTTTTTGCAAATATTGCAGTAAGGGTGCTTAGAAGTGAAATGTTCTTATTTATTAAAAGATATGTCAATAGCAGAGTTCATAAACTTACCTTCATTATGTCTTATTAGAAATCCTGATGGAGAAGTTCGATTAAATAGACAACATAAATATCACTGTCAAATTCAAATGGCTCTCTCCAAGTTTACTATTGTCATTTTGTAATATGGTCTCCAACTGAATTATATCATGAAAAAATTATGTGTACCGAAGAATTTTGAAAATTTTACATGGAAAAAGCAAGTTTTTCTCATAAAAACTTATAATTCCTGAGTTACTTTGCAATATTTTAGCAAACTTAACATGGTCTACATGTAAAGGCATTGATGATGGCCAACCAATGATAAAATGAAAACTGCAGTATTTCTTGGTTTCACTTTAAGTGTGTGAATCTCTTAGAGGTACCGACTTACGAGGTACTTTATGGTTTTGTGAAGCTTGTTCTCCTTAGATATGGAATCTTTAATTTTTACTGTGTCAAGTAAATTTTTTGTTTGTAAATATTAAATTAATAATTTTTAAAATAAATGATTAAATTATCAATAAAACGTAAATATAGTAAATTTGTTTCTCAATTTATTTTTTTAATTTGGTTAGACACCAAACTGTCATTCTCAAGCCACATTAACCAAGTAACAAACAGAGCGATGAAAGTGCTGGGGTTTATCCAACGCACATCTGTGGATCTGTCTTTATTTACATTTAAAAGACTTTATTGTGGTCTCGTTAGGCCCATTCTTGAGTTTGGATCAGTTGTATGGTCCCCATCATACCACTGTTACATTCAACAGATTGAAAGAGTCCAGAATAAATTTTTGAGGGTAGCAGCCTATAAGAGTGGATACAGGAGAGAGGAATACGACTATCAGTGGGTAAGAGATAGTCTTAACTTACCAACACTGGAGTCAAGGAGGACATTGTTGGATTTATGTTTCTTACACAAAGTTATCAATGCTTTTATAGATTGTCCTCAACTCTTATCGCTTGTTAGTCTTAAAGTTCCTAGTAGAAGCAACAGACAATCAGAAATCTTTTCGGTGCCATTTCACCAAACTAATTATGGTATCAATGAACCAACTACACGATTGGTCCGGAGTGCTAATAGCTTGCCAAGACAAATAGATATTTTTGACTCCAAAATTAGTTTGTTTAAAAAACAACTAAAAAATATCTTACAATAAGTTGGTTGTACATCTGTATTATTCTTATATGTTTGTATTATTCTGAGGTGTTTGTTATTTTAATAATTTATTGTTGTTAAGGTGTAACTTTTTAAAACTTGTGATTGTTATTTTAATAATATATTGTTTTTAAGATGTAACTTTGTAAAAATTGTAAGTAAATGGATGCCGTATATAAATAAATAAATAAATATTGGTGTTATCTTTATTTTTTAGCATTTTGTATTCGAACATAATATGGTATATAGTTGTGAATAAAACAAATTCAAAATAAATGTTTTTTTATTACAAATGTATCAAAATTATATGTTATAGAAATTTATTATCATATGTTAAGCAATAATAACAATATAATAATGGTGCAACTGTTTCCATTCAGTGAGTGTCTTTTAAAAAGGTTTCAAATTTTAGAGCAAAATACTTCTTTATTCATCAATTACAAATTCCAAAATAATAAAAGTACAATTTATTATGATACTTTGAAAATGAGAGAGAATAATATGCTTGCATTACACTTTAAGTTTAAAAAAATAAGGAAAAAACAAGAATCAAATTATATTAACAGAACTGAATGTACATACAGGTTGAGAGTATAACTAATAATGGCAAACTAAAAGCATATATTAAGGAAAGGCATGATTGTAGGACATATATTTATAGGTGCACAAAACAAGAATACTATTTGGTCTAGTAAAGATTGTTCTTCGCCTACCATTTATTAATGTCATCGGAATAATTTACTGAGTTATTCTAAATTTATTTCGGATCATTCCAATAATTCTTTCTACATGAATTCTTAGATGTTCGATGGATTTGGTTTCTTCCAAGTTAACTGGATGCATTTGGGTTTTTTTCTTCCTAAATTCAGGAATTTTTACTGGCGCATGAAATAATTTCACAAATTATTTGTTTATGAATCTTCTGTTAGCCATAATCACATTCTCTGGCAGCAAATTGTTCACAAAATCAGATTGAATTGAATTTAAAGACTATGTAAACAAACCTTTTAAACTAATTTTTTCAGTTTCACAACAGAAGTTTTTTTAAAAAAGTCCTAAACTTAAACATTTTGGTCCGTTTTCCAATCACTGAACTGATAATTTAACTCACAATTTATATAATTAATCGAAAATACTATTAACTTTCAACACGACTCAATAGTTTGTTTGACCTCCAGACACCATTTTGGATTTAATTTGACAGCTCGTTGGACTGCCATGGACTGCCCTATATTGAAGAAGTCCATATACAGATTACTGAGGGTCCACTGTACTACATTTTGTATATTTTATACGCAATCCGCCCATGGAAAAAGTGAAGTTCATATTTTAAATGATACCACAGACCACTAATTGATCTGTGAATGATACACGATAAACATACCTAATTGAAAAAGAAGAACTAAGTGCTTGAAATATGACAAAAGAATATAGACGCATGACGTATATGCGTCTATCTTCTTTGGTATTATCATCATAATCTTATCATTCAACTGTTTTATTCTTTTATCATAGTTTTGAATTTGAATTTTTTTCAATTATTTGTGGTAATCCTCAATTATAAATAATACTAAAAATGCCGCATTTTAGAGTTGAGACTAATATACCCAATGACAAAATACCTGATGATCTACCTGCCAAATTATGCGGTATAATTTCAAAATCATTAGGAAAACCTATAAATGTAAGTAAATTATAATTTATCTTGGAAGTCCACTCAAGTTATCCATATCTAGTTGATTAATTAATATTTGACTTATCTAGATTAATCTAGAATTTTTCCTTGAAATTTTAAATTGTTTTAATACTATTTATTAATAATATATGGTTTATTTACAAAAATGGGAATGAGGGAAGTAATTACATAACTTAAAAGTAAGCCTTGGCAATTAATTTTAAATTTGGTAATGCTAAGGGTAATAGGGGACCGTAAATATGAGTTAAAATATGAAATATTTGTTAAAATATAATACCAAAAAAATGTACTTATATATTACCAAAGAATATAGACACATAAATATGCGTCTATATTCATTGATTATTATCATCCAAAATAAAAGAATTAAATAATCGGGAACTAGTCACTTTGAATTTAAAGGTAACCAGGCTGATATTTAATGTTATAAAAATTAAACAGGAACAATAATTGCTGTATCTTCTTCTTCACGTGCCATCTCCATGACGGAAGTTGGCCATCATCATGGCTATTCTGATCTTAGATGCTGCTGCTCTAAATAGTTCAATTGATGTGCATCCGTACCATTCCCTCAAGTTACCCAACCATGAGATTCTTCTTCTTCCTACACTTCTCTTGCCCTGGATTTTCCCTTGTATAATCAGTTGAAGTAGGTTGTATCTCTCATTACGCATAACATGCCCCAAGTATTGCAGCTTTCATGTCGTGATGGTTTCCAATACTTCCATTCTTTTGTTGATTCTTCTCATGACTTCGTTGTTTGTTACATGCTCGGTCCATGATATCTTCAGGATTCTTCTATACACCTACATTTCAAATGCTTCCAACTTTTTAGCAGTTGGCGCGTTAAGTGTCCATGCTTCCATCACATAAAGCAGAGTGGAGAAAATATAGCACCTTGCCAGCCTAACTCTCAAGTCCAATTTTAGTTCTCTTGCACAAAGTACCTTTCTCATTTTATTGAAGTTTGTACATGCTTTCTCTATTCAAACTTTGATTTCTTTGGAGTAATCGTTTGTGTGATTAATTATTGAACCAAAATAGTGGTAGTTTTCAACTTGTTCTAAAGCACTACCGTTAATTGTCAGGCTTTCACCATTATTTTGGGTTTTTGATATCCTCATAAATTTGGTTTTCTTGGTGTTTATTGATAAGCCATATTCTTCTCCATACTCAACTATCTTGTTCATTAGCTTTTTGAGGTCCTGGAGGTTGTCTGCTATTATGATAATATCATCCGCATATCTAATGTTGTTAATTGGTGTTCCATTGACCTTGATTCCTGCTGTTTCTCCCTCAAGAGCTCTGTTCATAATTTCTTCAGAGTATGCATTGTTCTCGAATCCATAAAATCCTGGTAAAGGGTGGTGCTACAACAGAAGAAGTAGATTTCCTAAAGAAAACTAATGGCAAATTTATGGACACCAAAGAAAACAGGTTTAGAGAACTGATAAACACACACTTTTTGGGCTCAACAATTCTGAATGATGCAGATAGGCAAACCAATATAGACCAAAGGCTCACTATGCCAAGGTCTACAGATTGGGAAATAGTCACAGCAATCACAAGACCAAACAGAATTAGATGGGCTATAAATAAGTTTTGGCCATATAAGTCTCTAGGGATGGATGGCATATATCCAATACTGTTGCATATGGGATTAGAGGTATTGATACCATATCTATGCAAGCTCCCCAAAGCCAGTTTAGCATGGGGGGTCATACCAGAAATATGGTAAAAGGTTAAAATCATATACTTGCCTAAGGTAGGTAAACTATCAGACCTAACACCAAAGTCATATAGACTGATAAGCCTATCTTCTTTTCTATTAAAACGCTGGAAAGGCTTTTGATAGGTACATCAGAGATGAAGTGCTAAGCAATCGTCAATATGCATACCAACCTGGTAAATCTATGGACTCTGCATTGGATGATGTAAATAGGCTTATCTCAAAGACAATGGAAGACAAAGAGATAGCAATCGCCGCCTTTTTAGATATAGAAGGGGCAGTTAATAATGTTATCACCAGCTCTTTGATAGGAGCTATGAGTAGACGAGGCGCACCTGCGGTAATATGCAGATGGATAAGGGCATTCCTAGAGAATAGGATAGTAATGTCCACCCTAGGTAAAGCAACCATCAAAACAAAAGTAGGTGGAGGCTGTCCACAAGGAGGAGTTATGTCCACTCTACTTTGGGTAACCTTGGTAGATGATATCCTCAGAAATTTGTCCACAGAAGGCTTCTATTGTCTAGGATATGCTGACGATATAGCAATCGTCGTCAGAGGCAGGTTTGCTAAGGTGGTGTCTGTGATAATGCAAGCAGTCCTAAATATAGTTGACGACTGGTAAAGAAGAGACACTGATAGTCAATGCTCAGAAAACACAAATCGTCAACTTCACCAAGAAAACAGCACTATGAGGCCTAAACCACCGGTGCTGGGAAGAACAGAGATTTCATTTGCCAAAGAAACAAAATACCTTGGGGTATATTTTGATCATAGGCTTACATGGAATACTCATGTTCTAAAAACCACACAGAAAGCTACTATGTCCCTGGGCAGATGTATAAGAATGTGCTGTAAGAATTGGGGACTTAACCCCAAAATGACTCTATGGTTATACACAAGGGTTATTAGACCCATGATAACCTATGGTTCAGTGATGTGGTGGACAAAGATGCAGCAAGTGGGAGCAATAAGGCTACTAGGTAATACACAAAGGCTAGCATGCCTGTGTATTACGGGGGCCATAAAAACAACTCCTACTGCATCACCTGCTACAAGCCAGATCAGTGATGCACAGATTAATCCATAGTCAGTGACATATAAGCCAAATACATGGTACTGACAACAGAAAGCTAACCGAGGAGCTAAAAGCCAATATTGTGATGGGGAAACCTATCGATGCAACAGCTACTAAATCTAGCTTTAACAATAAATTTACAATTCAGATACCAGGCAGGGAAGACTGGAATAAAGATGTACCCATAAAAGCTGCTGCTACCTGGTACACGGATGGCTAAAAAACATCGGAGGGTGTTGGAGCCGGCATAGTAGGGACAAATCAAGGGATACATTTCCCGGTAAGTCTATCTAAGGATGTGACAGTTTTCCAGGCGGAAATAACTGCAATCCATCACTGCGTGGAATAAATAGAAAGGCAGGAAAGAATTTTCTGTTCAGTTGACATCTTCACAGATAGTCAGGCAGCGCTTAAGGCACTCAATTCTGTAGAGGTCAATTCTAAGCTAGTATGGGATTGCGTGTGTGCCCTAAATAAACTAGGAGACAGTAGCAAGGTTACAGTAGCCTGGGTACCGGGGCACGAGGGTGATAAGGGCAATGAAAAAGCAGATGAAATGGCCAAACAAAGCTCATCAATGCCATTCATTGGACCGGAACCCTTTTGCAGCGTTGCAAAGTCAGTAACAAGAACGGCTACAAAGAAGTGGGTAGCTCACAAATCTCTGGAATGGTGGAGGAATTACAGTTCATTACAGAACATTCGCCAAAATTTACGGCAGATCTAATTAGCAAAGACAGGAAAACAGTCAAAGCCATAGTAGGTCTTCTAACAGGGCATTGTAAGCTGAATAGGCACTTGAAGTTAATGGGATTATCAGATGATGACCTGTGCAGATTCTGTCAACTCGAAGAAGAAACAGGAGAGCACTTTTTATGTCAGTGTGACAGTCTGGCAAATGTGCAGTTTTTTGCATTAGAAGAAGAAAATCCACTGGCAAAAGGCTACATGGAAGGTACAGTCTCGAAGCTACTAGACTTTATAAAGAGGGTCAGGCTAGAGAATGCTATCTAGACCATAATACATTGAATAGTAGTGGTGACAATACACACCCCTGTCGCACTCCTCTTTTAACTTCGAACTCTTCTGATGTGTGTTTATTAATGCATACGTGTGCCTGCTGTTTATAATATAGATTTGTTATAATTCGAAGGTCACTGTGTTGTAGTTGTTTTGCTTTGAGGATGTCCATTAGCTCTTTGTGGCGGACTTTGTCGAAAGCTTTGTTGTAGTCTATGAAACAGACGTACATACCTTGGTTCACATCCAAGCATCACTGGATTAGTATGTTAAATGGAAAGAGAGCTTCACAGGTACCTACGCCATTACAGAATCCAAATTGAGTTTCTGCAATATCCATATCAAGTGTTTTGTAAATGCGTTTATGAATGATCTTTAAAAACAATTTAAGTGTGTGAGACATCAAGCTTATGGTACGGTGGTCGGTGCATTCTCTATCATTTTTCTTTTTTGAAAGACAAATGAATGTCGAGGTCAACCATTCGTTGGGTATATCACCCGATTGATAAATTTTATTAAAAAGCTTTAAGAGGACATCAATGTACTCATTTTCTATTATTTTAAGGATATCAATAGGCAGTTGATCTGGCCCCGGGCTTTTCCGTTTCTGGTGTTCTTTAGTGCATATAGTATTTCTTCTTTGTAATTTCTACACTTGTTTCTCTGTCCTCAAAAGGCAAGTCTTGTAGGTTTCCTCTTTCGTCGTCGAAGAGCTCTTCCATATACTCTTCTCATCGTCTTAGTTTTTCGTCAGTCGTTATCATAGTATTTCCATTTTTATCTAAAAGAGTTGTGTTGTGGTTTCTTTTTTGCAGCTCTGCCATTTCTTTAACCTTTTTATGTATGTTGAATAGGTCGTATTTGTTCTGAAGATCCTCTATCTCTTTTCTATTCATTTTTCTATTTTTCTATTCTAAGATTCTATTTTTCCTCATAATAAGTTTGTTTTGTCTCTCTTATCTTTTTTCTGATTTCATTGTTAATGATTTTGTAATTGTGACTGTCTTTGTTCTTGGCTTGTCTTCGTTGTTCTATCATGCCGAGTATCTCGTCGGTCATCCATTTGTCTTTCTTTCGTGTCGGTTCTTTTAATATCTCTTTGCATGGAGCGAGGAGGCAGTTTTTTAGTGTTTCCCATTGTTCGTTTATCTCGTAAGTATT